CTTTAAAAATGTAAATCTTTTGGAAATGCTTTGGACTTGGACATGAAAGTCAGAAATATCAGTGTTCTCCCAAAAGGCAAGAAATATTACATAAGGATGATATATACCCTATTATGTAGATAGTGTCAAGCACCAAAAGCAGAACTAGTCAGTAAAAGCTCTGCATTGCTTTCTCCTTTTTAAGTAAAAAAAAAAAAACCTACTTCCATTTTTGTGAGGACAAAAGAAGAAATATTAATCAAAGAGACCAGAAACCATATAAAACTCCCCATGTAGACAACGTATGGGATCTCTATCCAATGTAATAGGGTCACTGTATGCCTACCAAACATGCCAGCAAAAAAGATWGTTTTCAACTTGTTTAGCAGTTGGGAGTAGGCAGTAGAAAGCAKCTAAAGTATTTAGCAATTTGGTGTACAAAATCCTATCCATTTCTGAAATCATAATTTTATCCTTGTATCTTTGTAATCGTACAACAGCAGGTACAAGCTAACACCTGTTAGGGACGGAGAGAGGACAGGGATTATGTATTAATGTGCAATCACAGCATGGTCACCATCTCACTTTTCTGAATAGTGTCTAGACCTTTACTGAGGCAATTTTACAGCTAATGTAATGCCAGTCTGGCATTTCCTTGCAAAAGRAATAAATATTATTATCCTGAAGGGCATAAGACACTTTTGGAGTATGATTCTGAAACAGGTGGTATCAGTGAGAATCATCTTTCTCATCACAGTCATCAATTTAAAAAGAAAAAAAGAAACAAGAGAACAAACTGTTGCTGCAAAAAGTGTTTAAGATATATGATGCAATCAGGTTGGTGTAACGAGAAATCTTCAAGCATCTGGACCAGCTCTGAGAGTATGAACTGGTCCACTCATGCCCAGTGTTGATACATGCCAGCTGTTAGTGAAAAGATGTTTTATTTAACTAAGAAAAAGGCAATTCAATCACTGTAACTTTCTGACAGTGAGGCCTAATTTGGTTAGCAAGTAACTGGTGACATTGCTATTGTCTCCAAGAAGTCCATCCCAGGCTGGTCCAGCCTAGCAACCTAAAATTACTCTCAAAAAGAGGATTTTTATTGCAACATTCCCACAGATGCACCATCAGTTGCAAGCAGAGTCATATTTGTCATTTCATGAAACCTCTGTCCYCCTCTCTCACCCAAACCAAATTCYTTTATTTGGGCAAGAATAAATACACATAAAGAAATCCTTTTTCAACAGAGAGCTAAATATAAATAAAAACCCCAGAAGTCTAGGGAGAAACTACATGGTAGAAATAGACAGTAACAGTGYTGTTTGTATAGGTCTATTGCAGTTGGATTCCCAGATAAACAGGAGGCAAGGAAAATTCTCACAGCACCTTGTATAATGCTGACTGTAATGTATGTCCTTGTTGCCTGGATACCTCTAGTGAATTACCAAGCAAGGGTGCGAGTTTTCTTTCCTTGATCAGTATTAAATAAAAAACCCCAACCTCCTACTCTATAAGAGGCAGAAGATGCACATGGAAGCTTCCTTTGCCGGTGCCAGCYGAGTGCCAGAGAGAGACAAATCGAGCCTTGAGAATTTTAAATCTTGTGGGTTGCCGTGCCACGCTRTGAACTAGATCTCATACAATTCATCACCCAAGTTGCAGAAAAATAGTTCAAGAACTCAAAATAATGAATTCTGTCATTTCCAATAGAAGTGTGAAGGGAGAATTATGAATGAACCTTTTAAAAACACGTATGTGGAGGGAGATTGCCCTTCTACAAAATGAAAGCAGCAGGCTTCTATTTAAATGGCCCAATCCTGAAAGCGAGACCTTTCATTTTCAATTAACTTAAATTGACAATTGAGAAAGGTTTGAAAATGTTGTTGGAGCCTTTCAGTTTGATAGATCTCAGTTCTGACATTACACACACCACTCTGACCTGATTTTTAGGGTGTGCTGTTTTAAAATTGAGAATTTGAAATGAAAAATATTTGATTCAATCAAAGCTGTTGCAAGACATTCAAACATCTTAATTTGTTAGAAATGCACTTTCCATATTTTCSCATCATGATACATATATAATGCATCATTTATTAAGATACATTAAAGCTTAAGAGCCATACTTTCTCTCAATCTTACGTTCTTTTATGTTATAACAATACTTCCATTGAGAAATTAAATTTTATTAGAAATATACTACCATGTACAGTGCATAACTATTTACAAGACAAATAAAACCTTTMTTTATATTCTGAAGCAGTCTACATTACCAATCTACCTTACCAGACTAATGCAGTTACCCAATATGACATACCTCCTGTCCACCTAACACAACAAAGGCAAATCAAACTGATTTGATAAAGGCTTAATATTAATTCTCAAACACAGAAATGGAAGACTTTTAAAAATGTTAAAAACTTCATTAAATAAAAAAAGAAAAAACAAAACAAATAAATCAGAGAATATTTCAAAGCTCAGAAGCAAAAGATGGGGCTTTGAAACCACTGAGAAGTGAGATCCCTGAATGGAAATGGTCTACTTAACAATTAACACATGCCTTTTGACAGATGTAAAAGCACARTCTGCTCAGCTCAGAATACCCTATACCAATAATGCAGTCTTGAAAATCATAATCATAATTCAGAATCATAATTCAGTCATGAATTATTGTTTGTTATAATAGACTCGATTCCCAAACCACCCAAAACCAAAAAGTTGATGTATTTTTCCGTTACGTAGTTGACCATGTCACTAGTTTTGAATTTTTTTCAGGAAGCCTCTTTTAATTCTGCCAAGAATTAAATTGCTTTAAGTAATGTTTTCTTTCTCACAGCAGTAGAAATCGATGTACATGATGCAGATCTGCAGATAACATTGATGACATGTTAGATCCCATTTTTCCCTCACAGGCTTAACACACAAGCAACCTCTTGCAGAATAGAGTCCATACACCTATGACATAAAGTCTGCCACGAAGTTTGAAACCAAAGCCATGTGAAGCACAAGGACTGAGTTCTGTTCTTGCACTACTGTAGATTTTGGGAAACTCAGCAAAATCAAACAGGATTTGATTCAGAGATTCAAACTTGGCCAAGCAATACTAGACCATATCTTGAGAGAAGAGAGCAGCAAGGACAGAGACACCGCTGTTAGGGAATTGGCTTGGAGATAATTTAATTATGTGTACAAATTATAAATCCAAGGCACTGGCCATTATAGCTGGGCCACCATGGCACCTCTGTGGTAGGAGGCAGGATAGAGGGCAGTGGTAGCTCCATGCCTCCTGAAGCTCTTCCCAATATACTCCCTAAGAGTACTTACAATAGGCATCTTGGAAATGCARACTGGACCTCTGCATTGTTCTAGTTTTAAACTACTGCTATTAAATGCTAAAATTTTTGAAAGAGATGTTCCTCTTGTTATATTAGATAAGTTGCAGAGAAAATTTTGCTTTGTGTTAAGGAAACACAAAGTCTGTATGCCTAGAGTCAAATGTGTGAGTTGCAAAAATCAAAGGTATGATGTGGTGTATACCATGAACAAGATAACAGCATCCTGATCCTGTCCTACACTGTTTGTTTGGGGGTTTTAGGAAGCCTGGTGTCCTTCAGTAAGGAAGAGGGGGACAGGACACAGAGTACTGGATGATGAAAATAGTACTTTCTAAATTCTTTTTCTCTCTGAATTCTTCAGAGGCTGAAGGATAATGAGAAGTGTGAACTGAACTACCATTAAGCATTTTGTCCCTTTTCCCCTTGCCACATGACTATAAAAAGGAGGAAAATAATGAAATTACCAAAATAGTGTTCATCATATTTGAAAACCATCTGCATATATATAAATGTTTAATATGCATCCTATATAAGATGTAAGAACTTCTTAAGCAATACGGGAAATTATGTACCACTTTAGAGTTTTCTTCAGCACACAAGAGTCTTGGGGTCTAAAAGCTGTATAGCATAGTAAATCTTATTCATTAGCTCAAGTTTAATGAACTCAGCATCAAATAATAGAGATGCTATGTTAAATTACTCCCCTGTCTTTGCAATATGGATGAAAAATCACAGTAAAACAAAGCATATGCAGCACTTTACACGGCCTACACAAAGGAGGGTCTAATTTAACACAGCTATAGTTTACTGTGGAATAGGATTCGCTGTTAAAAATGTGGAAAGTAGCTTTATAATACTGATACTACTGTAATCTACCATCTACTTTCCAAAATGCTTGACTATATCTCTCGTTTCAGGGTATAGGAACAGATGTTCAACTCACAGGTGTGACATCTGGAAGTTGGCTTTCATTAAAGGTACCCTGTAAAGAGTGCACCTGAAGCACTGTAAAAGCTGGATGTGCCTGCAAAACTCACCCTTGGATTGCTTTGCTTGTTTCATGTTGATTTTTTTCTTTGAATTATTTTCCCTCTAAGTATTTTGTGATTCCCTAACAAGGCGTCCAGCACTAGCCAATTGCTACTTACTAGCACAGCTCTACAGTAACAATTCATCTGCTGCACAGGTGACCGTGAGGGCGGGGGGCGGAGAAATCAATAAGGGAGGCAAAACCAAAAAAGCCTTTAGAAAATGTTCCTAAATCCGGTGCAAAGCCGTGACTTCGGCCGCTGAGGTGCCACAAATGCCAGCACAGCGCCAGGCAGCCGTGCGGCCGGGGCAGGGCGGGCGCGACACGGACACGCACACACGGACACGCACACACGGACACGCACACACGGACACGCACACACACACCCTGCCCCACGGCTGCGCCCAGAGCTGCGCCTTTCCCCGCAACGCACCGGGCGCCGATAACAGGGACACGTGACCAGGCGAATTTAAAAAAAATAAATAAATAAATAAATAAATAATAATAATAAAAAACACCCCAAAACAACAAAACAAACAAAAAATATCAAATCCCCCCAAACCGGCTGCTGTCCGTTTGGCCACCAGCTGCGCCCGCCGGGCACGTCCGCCCCTCCGGGCTGTGTCACTGGGCGGCCGCCGACCCCGGGAACTTACCGGCGGGGCCGCCCCGTCCCTCGGCCTCCGACGGCGCTGTCGCAGCTCAGGGCGGCGGCATCCCCCGGGCCTCCTGCCTCCCCCGCACCCCCCGGCTCCCCGCGGACGTCCCGGCGCTGGGCTGCGCGACTTGTTTGGTGCGGTGACACCGTCCTCACCATATGCTGAAGCGGGAAAGGAGGAGAAGGAGGAGGAGAGAGAGAGTATGTGTGAGGGTGAATTAACTTTGCTCAATGGCGACAGGGCAGCAGCCTCAGCCCCAGCATCAGATCGATTTACTAAACAAACTGAAACGTGGGTGGGGACGTTAAACAGTAACCAGCGGCCTCAATGAAAACTGAAAGCTGCGGCTGCCGCCGCCAGCCACTGGCCCG